GCTGCGTACGAACGTGACGCGCCGGGCAGCTTGCCCGGAAACCTGAGTTCAGGCTCCGGGGGAAGTAGGTTGCAAAGCTGGAACTTAAAGGAATTGACGGAGGGCACTACCAGGAGTGGAGCCTACGGCTTAATTTGACTCAACAACGGGACAACTCACCCGGTCCGGACATGTGCTCGATGGACAGATTGACAGCTCTTTCTAGATTCGTGGATATGGTGCATGGCCGCAGTTGGTTCGTGGGGTGACTCTGTCTGGTTAATTCCGATAAACGAACGAGATTCTCGCCTATTAAATAGGTGCCCTCATCCTATCGCGATGGAGGGGAACTTCTTAGAGGGACCGGCGGCTTCGAAGCCGTACGAGAGAGAGCGATTGCAGGTCTGTGATGCCCTTAGATGTCCGGGGCCGCACGTGCGCTACAGTAGAGGGGACAACGTGCGAAGGTGCCTCGGCCGTCGGGCCGGGTAACCCGAGCAGTCTCTTCTCAGTGCTGGGGACAGGGGATTGTAATTATTCCCTCGAACGAGGAATTCCCAGTAGGCGCGAGTCACTAACTCGTGCCGACTAAGTCACTGCCCTTTGTACACACCCCGTCGCTATCTCCGATTGAGCGGTGGAGTGAGGTCTTCGGACCAGCGCTCGGGCGACCCTCCGGGGTCGAGTCGACGTGCCGGAAGATGACCGAACTTGGCCGCTTAGAGGAGGTAAAAGTCGTAACAAGGTTTCCGTAGGTGAACTGTGGAAGGATCATTGCAATCTTTAATGAGATTTTAATAAGAGAGCGGAATGGGCTGGAGCACCCACCGCATATATTGAAAAGCTGGATAAAATGTGAAAGGATCATTTGATTGATGGCGAGAGAGCGGAATGGACTTGGACCACCCACCGCATATATATATATTAAAAAGCTGGATGGCGGTGGGGTTGGGGAACCCACCGCGAAGAAGAAAAAAAAATTTTTTTTTTTTGAAATTTTTTGATTCGAACGGAGGGCAGTCGAGGGGTGCCTGTTCCCGGCCGATTTTGCGGCAGGAGGGATGTTCGGATTTCCGAGCACGGCTCGAAGAGATGCGCCCGCGTGCGCACCGCCCCACTGCCCTTCCCTTCGGGGAGGAAACAAAACGAAGAAATTCTATTAAAGCGTCCTTCGTGCGGCGGACGCGATGAAATTGTCGCATCGTACAGCTCCGAGCAGTGGATCACTCGGCTCGCGGGTCGATGAAGAACGCAGCCAGCTGCGAGATTTGGTGTGAATTGCAGAACACTCAGATCACTGATTATTCGAACGCACATTGCGGCTCCCGCTCCTCTGCGGGAGCCTCGCCTGTCTGAGGGTCGCGTGATGCATGCAGAGGTTCTTTCCTCGGAAGGTGACCAAACGGCCCCTTCGGATTCGTCCGTGGGCTCAGAGAACGATCTCTCCCGGGATCGACCGCAAACGTACCCCCGGGAGTAAGACGAAAGGGATAACTATGAAAACGAGAAGCGACCTCAGATCAGACGAGAGAACCGCCGAACTTAAGCATATCAGTAAGCGGAGGAAAAGAAAACAACAGTGATTCCCCAGTAGCGGCGAGCGAAAAGGGAAGAGCCCAGCGCCGAATCCCTGCGTCGAGAGGCGCAATTTGGGAAATGTGGCGTAAGGAGTGCGCGCAGGTCCGCCGCAGGGTTCGAGGTAAGTCCCCCTGACAGGGGCTTTTCCCGTGGCGGGTGCCAGGCCCGTGTCCTCGAGCCCGTCGGCGGTGCCGGCGCCTCCGGAGAGTCGGGTTGCTCGGGAGTGCAGCCCCAAGGCGGGAGGTAGACTCCTCCAAGGCTAAATACGACCGCGAGACCGATAGCAAACAAGTACCGTGAGGGAAAGTTGCAAAGAACTTTGAAGAGAGAGTTCAAGAGACGTGAAACTGCTCGGAGGGAAACGGGTGGGCCCTCGAAGTCCCGACCTTCCGCGGAGACTCAGTCGCTGTCGAGCGACGCACTTCTCCGCGGGATTCTAGGGAAGTCGCGGCCGGTCGCCTTCTTCTCTCCGCCTCCGGGTGAGTCCGCCGCGCACCTTGTGGAGCGTCGGCGTCCCCCGGGGGCCCGATGCAGAGAGGGCGACCCGGTGCCCGCACGGGCCAGCTCCTCCCGCCGTCCGCCTCTTCCGGGCACCTGAAGCCCGTCCGTCGCCGACGCGCCTCGTCCCTCGTGGAGGGCGGTCCTTCGGGCGACTCCTCGAAGTCGGAAATGTATTCGTGCGGGCGGAGGGAGTTGCGGTTCCGCGACGAGTAGGTCGGTCACCCACCCGACCCGTCTTGAAACACGGACCAAGGAGTCTTGCTCTCGTGCGAGTCTAAAGGTACACTACGAAGCCCAGAGGCGCAGCGAAAGCGTAGATCGCGATCCCTCCTCTGACTCGAGGGGGGCGCAGCGACCGCCCGTGCCTCGAAGTGGGAACGGAGCGAGAGCACGAGGGCAGGGACCCGATAGGTGGTGAACTATTCTCGGGCAGGACGAAGGCCGAGGAAACTCGGCTGGAGGTCCGAAGCGGTTCTGACGTGCAAATCGATCGTCCGACCCGAGTATAGGGGCGAAAGACCAATCGAACCACCTGGTAGCTGGTTCCCTCCGAAGTTTCCCTCAGGATAGCCGTCGCTCGTCGCAGCAGTCTCGCCGGGTAGAGAGAATGATTAGAGCGCCTCGGGGACGCCCGTGTCACTCGACCTCTTCTCAAACTACGAACGGACGAGAAGGGAGCCTCTCCCGATTCGGAGGCCTCCCGAGTAAGGATGCAGAGTGGCGCGTGGGCCACTTTTGGTAAGCAGAACTGGCGCTGCGGGATGAACCGAACGCCGGGTTAAGGCGCCCGATGCGGGACGCTCAGAGACCCCATAAAAGGTGTCGGTTGCTCTATACAGCAGGACGGTGGCCACGGAAGTCGGCATCCGCTAAGGAGTGTGTAACAACTCACCTGCCTAAGCAACCGGTCCTGAAAATGGATGGCGCTCCAGCGTCGAGCCCATACCCGGCCCTTTCTCTAACGTTTCGGATACGGAGAAAGGAGTAGGAGGGTCGCGGCGGAGCGCGTAGAAGGTCAGGGCGCGAACCCGACTGGAGCCTCCGCCGGTGCAGATCTTGGTGGTAGTAGCAAATATTCGAGTGAGAACCTCGAAGACTGAAGCACGGAGAAGGGTTCCATGTGAACAGCAGTTGAACATGGGTGAGTCGGTCCTGATTCACTTCCTAATGGAATTATTAAAAGCTTCTGTTATTATTTGAGACGAGAAGCATTGGAGAATGGGAAAAGGGTTAATATTCCCTTACCCGGACACGGAGATAGGGGCACCCGTGTCCCAAGTGCGGTAACGCAAACGAACTCGGCGACGCCGTCGGAGGACCCGGAGAAGAGTTGACTTTTCTTCGTAAGAGCTCGTGTCCCTGGAATCTCGTCACGAGGAGATAGGGACGCTGTTCTCGTAAGAGCACGGTCGCTGCTGCCGTGTCCGGTGCGCCTCCGCCGGCCCTTGAAAAACCGAGGGAGAGAGTGTGATTTTCGTGCCGGTCCGTACCCATATCCGCAGCAGGTCTCCAAGGTGAACAGCCTCTAGTCTCTAGAACAATGTAGGTAAGGGAAGTCGGCAAGTTCGATCCCTAACTTCGGGAAAAGGATTGGCTCTTGTGTTTCCGTCCTCGCGGACCTCTTTTGCCGTATTTCTTGCGCTTCTGCCGTGGGGACTGACCGCCCTCTCCGAGGCGTGGTCGGACCCCTACGCGGACGGAGGGAAGAGGAAAGAGGGTGGCCTCGCTCCTTCGAGAGCCGGGGCTTGTGCCGCGGGACATCGTGGAAACGAACAAGAACTGGCACGGACTAGGGGAATCCGACTGTCTAATTAAAACAAAGCATTGCGACGGCCGGAGAACGGTGTTGACGCAATGTGATTTCTGCCCAGTGCTCTGAATGTCAAAGTGAAGAAATTCAATGAAGCGCGGGTAAACGGCGGAAGTAACTATGACTTTCTTAAGGTAGCCAAACGCCTCGTCATCTAATTAGTGACGCGCATGAATGGATTAACGAGATTCCCACTGTCCCTATCTACTATCTAGCGAAACCACAGCCAAGGGAACGGGCTTGGCAAATTCATCGGGGAAAGAAGACCCTTTCGAGCTTGACTGTAGTCTGACTCTGTGGCGAGGCATTATTGGCGTAGTCTAGGTGGGAGTCTTTTGCGAGGCGAGTCTGTGAAATACCACTACTTTGATCGCCTTGTTACTGATTCGGTGATGCTCTGTGGTCCTTCCTTTTGGGATGCGACGTGTTATGTGAACTTAACCCGCGCTTCGTCGAAAGCGTCGGGGAAGAGCTCCGAAGACAGTGTCAGGCAGGCAGTTTGTCTGGGGCGGAACATCTGTCAAAAGGCAACGCAGGTGTCCCAAGGCCGGCTCGGCCGGGACGGAAACCTGGCTTAGAGCAAAGGGGCAAAAGCCGGCTCGATCTCGTTCTTCAGTAAGGAAGGGGACCTCGAAAGAGGGGCCCATCGATCCTTTCGATGCGTGAGAGTCTCACGCGAGAGGTGTCAGAAAAGTTACCGGAGGGATAACTGGCTTGTGGCGGCCAAGCGTTCATAGCGACGTCGCTTATTGATTCTTCGATGTCGGCTCTTCCTATCATTGCGAAGCAGAATTCGCAAAGCGTTGGATTGTTCACCCACTAACAGGTAACGTGAGCTGGGTTTAGACCGTCGTGAGACAGGTTAGTTTTACCCTCATGAAGACGGGTCGTCGCGACGGTAAAATCTGCCCAGTACGAGAGGAACCGTAGGTTCGGACATTTGGTACTGCGCTCGGTGGTGCCGCCGGTGGCGCGAAGCTACCATCCGCTCGGATAACGGCTGAACGCCTCTAAGTCGGAAGCCGTCCCGAGAACGGTGAGGATATCATTCCGTGCCCCTCGCGTCGAACGGCAGCTCTAGCCCCTCGATGTTCCCCCTCGGCCCGCCGTCGGGGAGCGCGAGCGGGCGAAAGTGGCCCCTTCGCACGCCCGAGACCTCCGGGACCCTCCGTAGACTCCGAGGGTCCTGCTCCTGCGAGCCTGCCTCCGGGCAGACGAGTGATGTGAGTGGGCGTAGAGTCGTCTGCAGACGACGTTCTTGCTGGACGGGGTGTCGTAAGTAGCAGAGCACCCACCATAGTGCGATCTACTGAGACTCATCCCTCGTCCGGAGGACTCGCTGGCTCCGCCGGCGCCCCCTTTCCTTTTGGGGTAACGGTTCCCTCCGAGGGGACCTCGAAACACTGGAGTTGCTTGGAGAAGAGGAAAAAAAAAAAATCGAGTTTGATGCGGAAGTGGAGAGGTCCGGGACTTTGAAATTTTTCTAGGTCCGCCGGAAGAGGGCGTTGTGGGATGCGGGCCCCGGTGACGGGAGCCCTGCCGTCGGGAGAAGTGGGTGCGAGGCTCGTGTGCAAGTCGAGTTGGTGTTGGAAGAGCGAGTGATGAACAGGAAGAGGCGAGAACGAGCGGTTTTGGACTTTGAAATTTTTCGAGCAGCACCGGAAGAGGGCGCCGTCTCGTGCGGGCCCTGGTGACGGGAGCCCTGCCGTCGGGAGAGGTGGAGCCGAGTGGGTGCAGGGAAGTGGTGAGAGGCTCGGAGTGAATCGGTCGCTGAGGCGAGACTTGGCTCGAACAGAGCAGGAAGTGGTGAGGACGAGTGGTTTTGGACTTCGAAATTTTTCGAGGTCCACCGGAAGAGGGCGCTGTCGCATGCGGCCTAGGGGTACG